ACGGGACACCGCGGGACACCGGGACACCACGGGACACCACGGGACACCACGGGACACTTGTCGATATCACTATCGATCTCACTCAGCGGGACACCACGGGGCACCGCGGGACACCTCTCGATCTCACTGTCAGTCTCACTATCGTTCTCACTATCGATCTCACTCAACGGGACACCATGGGACACCACGGGACACCACGGGACACCACATCGATTTCACTATCGATCTCACTATCGATTTCACTATCGATCTCACTCAAGGGGACACCACGAGACACCACGGGACATCACGGAACACCACGGGACACCTGTCGATCTCACTATCGATCTCATTACCGATCTCGTTTTTCGGGACACCACGGGACACCACGGGACATCTCGGGGTACCACATCGATCTCAGTATCGATCTCACCATCGATCTCATTATCGATCTCACCCAACGGGACACCACGGGACACCACGAGACACTTGTCGATATCATTATCGATCTCACTATCGACCTCACTCAACGGGCCACCACGGGCCACCACGGGCCACCACGAGACACCGCGGGACACTTCTCGATCTCACTATCGATCTCACTATAGATCTCCGTATCGATCTCACTCAACGGGACACCCACATCGATCTCACTATCGATCTCACTATCGATCTCACTATCGATCTCACTCAACAGGATACCATGAGACACCACGAGACACCGCGGGAAACCACGGGACACCGCGGGACACCGCGAGCCACCGTTGGACGGACGGACGGACGGTGGAAAATCATCTGTCTTGACTTCGCCCTAGCAGCGGCGGACACAACGGGACACCACGGGACACCACGGGACACCGCGGGACACCGCTATGGCCACCGCCGGACGGACGGACGGATGGACGGACGGACGGGGGATAATCATTTGTTTTGACTTCGCCCTAGCAACGGCGGACACCACGGGACACCACGGGACACCGCGTGACACCGCTAGGGTCACCGCCGGACGGACGGACGGACGGGGCAGAATCATTTGTCGTGGCTTCGCCCTAGCAGCGGCGGGTTCATTCCTCTCGCGCGCCCACGCAGCTTCGCCTCGCCCGCACGCGCGACACGAACGACACGAAACGATTTCCCGTCTGGGGGTCTCCGTTCCACTGCCTCCGATGAACACCATGACAGGGTGACTCATGTATATTAGGTGAGTACCATGCAAGACACTGCTAGCTGTCATTGTATTCAGACACCGGCATAGAGACACCTCTATATACATAAACGGAAATGATGTGTTTATTATAAGTCGACGTTCGCATCTTTTTCTCTTGTGCATATATCTATGTACATGTCTACATCTGACCCCGTTTAGCGAAGTAGAGAGAACAAGATATAGAGAGGGTGGCACCACTCAAACGTAAGTATGTTTAGCTGAACATCCATGTATACATATATGCTCCTGAGCAATATCGGAATCTGTAAAGTATACAATCGAATCTCCGTGCCGGGACATATTTACATACGTGTATAGATTCATGCACGTTTCACAGAAAAGGTACACACGTAGCGAGAGGGAGAAATGGGGATACAGATGTAAGGACAGAGAGAGAAAGAGAGAGAGAGAGAGAGAGAGATGGGGGAAAGAGAGAGATATCTAATAACCAGAGACAGAGAGAGGTAGAGAGGGGGAGGGAGTGAACGAGAGAGAGAGAGAGAGAGTGTGTGTGTGGGTGATAGAGGGAGCGCGGCTCATACAACATTGCGTATATGTGTACAAGATGTTAAGGCACCTGCATGGTTAATTGACTCTGCGGTTAGCATATTGATGCAGCCGCAGCGCTGCTACGACCCATTCCCGAACCTGACGTTGGGGAGGCTAACCTGCCGCAGCCCCGATTGGCAACAGACCCGACGCGTTCCGTCCAAGCCGAACCCCCAGGTTCGGCACTTGCCCAGCACGAAGTCACGGCAGCTGCGGTCGCCAGTTGTCTCGCTCTGGAGGTGGCGCTCGGAACAGACGGATGTAGCAGAGACTTAAACGAGAGTACCAGTCTCACGCACGGATGCGGCCGGCGCTGGGGCGGTAGCACAAATCTTGGAAATGGATGTGGCTGGCGCTTGGGCGGAACACCATTCTTCCATGAGGGCTGTGGGAACCGTGCGGGTGGAGCGGCATCATAATAATCAATCAGGGTTGTGGCTGTCGCTGCGGAATGAGTGCCGCGTTCCATGAAGGATTTGGCCAGCGCGCAGACGGCAGCAGGACTCTCAGACGGGTATGGCCAGCGCTCGGGCGAGAGCGCCAATCCCACCCAGGAATGGGGCTTGTGCGCGACCGGCAGCATCATCTGCAATGAGGGCTGTGGCCTCTTGAAGCCTTGGGAAGCTTCCTGGGAGTCTTTTGGAAGCATTCTGGAAACTCTGGGGGCTTCGTAGGCTTTCTGTGGGGTTCTTTTGGGGCTCTTTTGGGCTGGCTGTGGGCCCTCTTGGGCTGTTCTGTGACCCTCTTGGGCCGTCCTGGGGAGCTGGGGCCGTCTTGGAGCCCTCTGGGGGCCCTCTTCGGCCGTCCAGGGGGCCTCCTATTGCCCTCTTGGAGTTCCCTTGGGGCCCCTGTGGGACCCTCTGAGGCCCCTCTTGGCCATTTTGGGGCTCTCTTGGGTCGTCTCGGAGCCCTCTTGGGCCCTCTTGCGACTCTCTTGGGGGCCTCTTGGGCCCTCTTGGGGCGATATCGGGGCCCTCTTGGGCCATCTTGGACGCTGTCAGAGCCGGAGAAGCGAATATGCCAAAAATGTTCGTTTCCCGAAAGGAATGTGATGATTGTTGCTTCTTGGGGCCCTCTGCAAATGGGCACGGAAAAAGACAGATTTCACGCAGAAGGTATTGGTCGTTCGTATGCGATTGATTTTGCGGGCCGACGCCGATCCCCGCGCCATCTACACTGGCACCTCAGAGTCGCGCGACTCATCCTCTCCGAGGCTGCCTGGTCCGAGGATGGACGGTCCACTCGCGGGGCGGTAAGGAAGCTTTTCTAAAAAAGGAACGCCAATAATTCGCAGAGGCCACAGGTGAGGTTCGCGAAGCGGACTTTGAGCTTTACCCTGGCGCCGTTGTAGTTCTCTCTTGGCTCAAAGGATACAGGGTTTTCGATTCTGCCCTTGAAAATACTTCGTATGGAGAAACCAGGCACGGGCTGCAAAGATGCGCCGAGGTTCTGGTCCATCCAACCCACGAGTGGCACAAACGGCCCGTGCCAAGTCGCGCCCGCACTTTACAACAAACAGTTCAGCGCCAATCACCACAATGCCGAATGAGTTTCGTAGCTACCAAGCACGTCAACGACATCAAGGTGACTGGAACCTCAGAGGAGAGGCTCTCCTTCGTGAGAGTTTGGAAGACACCAGCGGCAGAGTCGAGCTGGACATTTCCGAAGGTACGTGCACGCCTAGCGGGACCAGACCTTCGCCGACAAGGGAAGGCGGGAACGGATCAGACTAGACCGACTACATAAGGGGGTCTCAAGCCTTTTGGTCGTGCTTGGCTCTTTGGGGTTGGCTCTTTGGGAATGCCAGCTATGAGCTTGCGCCTGATGGCCTGGCTAGTTAAGAGATGCTCCCATGCCTCCCCATGGCCTTGGCATTCGCCCTCACCGCACGCAGGTCGCAATGCATCGCGACACAACAGCGCCCGCGCGTGGCCACATCCGCAGACTAAACGCGTTGGCCAGGTGTGCCGAGTGTAACCCACTGAGGGTTTCACTACCAAACCATAAGGTGCGCAGCGAAGCTGGGCACCTACACAGACGCAGCATCTCGCGAACAACAAAAGGTAGGCGCGCGCGGAGGTCGCTTCCTGCGGGGTGTCATGTTACTGCGCATGGGCATCGCGTTTTCAGTATCAGCGCCAGCGCCACTGACTGGCACCATCCCTTGCCACTCGCATGGTTGTCAGTGTGGCGTGCTCAAGACAGCGGCAAGAAACACCTTCGCGAGTGAGCTGATGGCTGCGATCTTGGCCGCCGATTACGGCCTGGCGCCCGCCGCCACGCTCCGCGAGGTGGCCGGGGGCCCGCGCGGTGCCCATGCTGCGCGGTGTCAACGCGACGGGCTGCAGGTTTCGGCAGTGCAGCTTGAGCTCTGCCTGGGCTCCAGTGGGAGTCGTCGCCGCCGCGGCGGCAATCAGGCCCGAGCCTCGCGGGGAAATCATTGCCGCCGCGCTCGGGGCTCCCCTGCGCTCGGGCCCCCGCGACGCGATCGCGGATGTACTCGCGAAGAGCTGCGCGGATCGTGCAGCGCTCCATTTAGTCTCGGCGGCTGGCGCCGGAGAGACCGCGCCCCGCGCGCCATCGCCCTCGACGTTGTTGACGAAATCATTGCTGTGTCGGGCCATTGGCGCCAGCCTGCGGCGGGCTGCGATCGGCAGTGACCTGAACAGACGCCGGCCGCCGGGATCCGACTTGGCCATGACTTCCTCCTCCCCCCCCCTTCCACCTGTGACTGTGGGCTCCATGTTCGCTCGCGCGTCGGCCAGGTCAGTCGAGCTCGCTACCCGCTGCTATCGCTTTGTCATGACTGGGAAGGCATGGCGCGGCAGACGCTGCAAGGGGATGGTCGTTTTTGTGGGGGTGGGAACGCGCGTGGTGCTGCGCGCGCCTGGATGCGCGTGCGTGCGTGAGTTGCGCGAGATCCGCGGCCATTTGCTCATCGGCCCGCGGGCCCGCGCGTGGCGTCGGCGCCGGCGCGCTGGCCTGCGCCGGCGGGCCTCCGCGAGGCGAGCGCGCGCGGCGCTGTCGCTGGCGCGCGCGGCCGCGTGCCCCCCGCGAAGACCGCTGCTTCTCCCCCCCGCGGGCCTCCTCCTTCGGGGGCGAGCGCCAGGCCGCCAGGGCGCCCGGGCCGAGTAGAGCGCGGGCTGCCGCTGGCGCTCGGCGGACCAATTGCGACGCCAAGATGACGGACTGGCGCCCCTGTCCGTCCGCGGGGTGCCGCCCGCGACCCGCCGCCGGCTGCGTCCTCCGAGGGGCGCGCGGGCAGGGGGCGGTCGCCGCGTCGCGCGGGCCATGTGCGACCGCGAGGGCAGGCGAGCAAGGCTGGTCCAGATCTTGTGGCTCACGTTCGCCATCGCAGCCGCCCGAGTTTACTATCGCCACCCCGCGCGCGCGACCGGCCCCGAGGGCGCCGGCGCCGCCGCTGATCCCTGGAGGCCGCGGCCGTGGCCCCGAGGCCCTCGGTGCCCCCGGCGACGCTGCTGCCGACGAGCAAGACCGGGCTCGCCGCGCCGACGTCGCATCCGACGTCCGAGGCCGCCGTTGTCTTCGCGCAGGATGAGTGGGGCTCGGTCAAAGGGCGGGGGAGAGATCTAACCGCTCCCTCGCGCAGTCGGAGGAGGACGACGTCGTCGAGGTCGCGGAGTTCATTCGGGGCGTGGGGATCTCCCAGCCCCTCCCTGCGCGCGTCGCTGGTTTCGCATTGTTTTCGGGCGTGCGCGCGGCAGAACGCCTCGGGGGTGCGATGGCCCACGAACTGCGGGCGATCCACTCAGCGGGCGTGGGCCCTCGCGAGCGCTCCAATATTGGGGGTCAATGGATCCGCGTGAAAGTGCTGTGCTTCGCCCAGCGTTTGGCGCGGCGGCAGACGGGCGCGCTGGTGTTTTCGGACCGGCAGGCCTGTCGGCGCCACTGGCCCCCAGTCGCGCGCCAGGTGCCCGCGGCCCAGCCGCGGCCCGGGCCCCGTGGAGGCGAGGCATCCCGCGCCGCTGGGCTCGCCGCCATCTCGGGGGCGCGAGGGGGGTGACTCGCGCAGCGACGGCGCCGGGCGCGGCGGAGGCCACGGCAACCGTGAGTTCGATGCGCAGCGGCGGGGGCCCCCGCCGGGCTTCCGCAAGGGCGCTGGCGCGCGCGCCCATCGGCTCGAAGTGTGTGTCCAGCAGAGGCGGCGGTGGCCAGTCGAGCAAGGGCGGCGCGCCGAGCGGGGCAGCGGCGTCGCCCGCGCCCCCCGCGCCAGGGCCCATGCCCAAGAGGATGGGGCGCGGGCGCCGCCGGCCAGCAGGCCCGCCGCCAGAGCAACGGCTCGCCGCGCGGCTGAGGGGGCCCCCGAGTTTCCGCCGCCGGGCGAGGCCGAGTCCGAGGGCCCAGGATATACGAGCGGCAAGCCTCGGCGGTCTCCCGTGGGGGCCGATCGGGGCTGATCGCTGAGGAGGGGGGCGCAGTGCGGGCCAGCTGCGCGCCCTCAACGTGTTCCACCGCTTTCCTCTCTCAGCGCTCCGGTGCAAGGCAGCTCCGTTCCCTTCTTCGCCCCCCAGCGACCTCGGTGCCACCTCGCGCCAGGACTGGTTTCCAGGCTGCAGGCTTTCGGGCGCCTGTCCGCGGCGCGAGGTCTTCGCTGACGCGGCGCCTGGCAATCTTCATTTCGCCCGCTCAGGCGAGGTGCTCGGTGGCGTTCCTTAGAACGCGGGCGGTCTCACTGAGCGCAGTCGGTGAGGAGGCGCTCCGCTTGCCCACCGTGCCTCGCAAGTGACGGCGGGGCATCCCGGGCGGGTTGGGGGCGCGCGCGGGGTTTGGACAGATCGGGCACTCCCTTTTTCTCGGTTGCTCGGCTCCACCCATCTTGTTCGATCGCCTGCGCAGTCCCCGCTCGAGTAGGGCGCCCGGTCGCCGTGCGGGGCCGCGCGCCAGCGCGACAGCTCCTGTGATTGATGTGGAACGGTTCCGCACGGAGCGTTGCTGCCATATCTCGCGTCCAATCCAGCCTCCGCAATCTTAGTTCCCCCCCTGCCCCCCTCGCCCTTTTGCGGGCGAGCGTGAGGATCCGGATTCGTATTTGAATTCGTTCGGGCGCGTTGTGGGCATCAGTTTGCCAGATTCAAGGTGATCTTCAAGCCAGGGTGTGGTGCCCGCAGACGGTTCAGCTCGGTCTTCGCATTTCGCATCCAACGTCGCGGCTTCTTTTGTGGTGTGGGGCTCTGGACCTCTCGGCCGTTCCCTGGGGTTGTTGATCTCATTCTGAGCTGTTTCTTCTGACGGTTCCAGTGTCCGAAACGGGCCCCCAGAAACCAAGTCCACAGAAAAACGTTCTTTCGCGATTGATGGACTTGAGTTCTCTGGAGGCCTTTGGACAGGCTGGGAATCTCGGCGACGCTGGCGTTGGCGACGACAACGGCGACGGCGACGGCGACGGCGACGGCGGCGGCAGCGGAATCGACGAGGACGACGGCTGCGGCGAAATCTCAGAAGGGGCCCGAGTCCGACAGAACCCAAAGCCCTAGCTTCGAGCCCGAGCCGGCGTTCGCGGGGTCGGGTCGAGTTCGACAGCACGGCGCGTGCGCTTCGTATGTCCTCGCATCTCCGTCTTCTAACGCGCACTCGCGTACGGTAGCGTGTGATGATCGAGCGCCGGCTAGCGTCGAATCGGCGCCGACCAGCGCCGATCAGCGCCGACCCGCGCCGTCCAGCGCCGACTCCGCAAGAGCCAACGAACTGGCCTGGGAGGCGCCCGCGAGTTGCCACCAAAACCGCTCGAGGGGCCGAGCCCAGCGCCTCCCGGCCGTGATGTCCCTTCTCGGCGGCGGGCGAAGGGGAGGGAAGTGAGAAGGAAAAAGGCCTTTTCAGACGGTTCCGAAGTCCCCCGGCCCTATAAGACATTTTCTAGGCCTTCCCCGAAACTTCTCCGAAGGCGCGAGGGCTTCTGCAAAGTCCCGCCGCCTTTGAGGAGAAGGCCTTCTCCTTCTAATTCCCCCCCTTGTGCCCGCCGCCGACCCTCAGCGTGCGGCCGCGCGCGGGCGAGGGCGGCGGCGAGGGCGGCGGCCAGCGGTGGCGACGACAACGGCCTCGGCGGCGGCGGCAGCAGAGCCGACGACGACGACGGCGTCGCCGCAATCCCAGCGGGGCCCGAGCCCGACGGAACCCGCCGCCCGAGCTTCGAGCCCCCGCCGGCGCCCGCGGGGGCGGGTCCGAGTGCGGCGGCGCGGCGCGTGCGCCTCGTGGGCCCCGCGCGCCCCAGCGGGGCCCGAAGCCGACCCGGCGCCCCCGGGCCGCGATGTCCCCTCGGCTCGCGGCCGCGCGCGGGCGGCGGCGGCGGCCGCCGCGCGCGGCCGCGGCCGCGCTGCTCGGCGCGGCGGCGCTGCTCGGCGCGGCGGCCGCGTCGGCGCGGGGCGGAACCGCCGCGTGGGCGGCGGCGCCGCGGCGCGCGGGCCCGGCGGAGGCCGCTCGGCCGGAGGCGGCCGCGGACGGCGCGGGCGAGCGGCTGCTGGAGTGGCTGCGGGACGAGGGGGCCCTGGCGCCCAGACCTCGGGGGAGGAACAGGTCACTGCCCATGCCTCTACCCTCTGCTCGTGAGCTTCCTCCCTTTGTGGGGGACCTCCTGGGAGGCCCTCGTCGCCGCCGTTGGATGCGCCTCGAAGTTCGGGTCAGCACGCACCCGGGAGAGGTTCCGGGAGTAGCGGTATCGGTACCTTGTGGTCTCCCCAAGACCCTCTCGCGTCATGAAAGAATCGCGACGGGATGTTTTTTCGTCATTTGCAGTTTCGGGGGGCCCTTGCGGGGCCTCGGGGCCGTCGGCAAAGACGATTCGGGTTGGAAAACGGGTCTTGGGCAGCTGGTCCAGACCTTTGGAGGCCGACGTCATGAAAAAGTCACGGCGTCGGAGATCTGGTTGTTCGGTGCGATCGGACTGCGTACGGGAAGAACGGGTACGAAGACCGACAGTTGTTTCTGTCTATTTCGAGCAGGGCTCGCTGTCGGCGTCGCTGCGGACATTGTCCACTTGAGACACATGCCCGCCTGCCCGACAGCGGCCGCTGTCGGTTTGGGACAACAGTTGCTGCTATGCATCGTGCCAACTCTCTCCGTACCCACTTCGGGCGTCCAAAGGTGTCCCCTAGCGTGCGGGTGGCGCAGGTGGCGCCGCTGGGGCGCGAGCTCGTGGCCAGCGCGGCGGTGGACGCGGGCGAGGTGCTGATCCGCCTGCCGCCGGAGCTGTGCATCCCGGCGCCCGGCGGCGAGGGCGCGGCCGAGGAGGTGCCGGAGGACGTGCGGCTGGCGGCCTCGCTGCTGGAGGTGGCGGAGTCGGACTACTGGAGCGCCTACCGCGCCATCTGGCCCACCAGGGAGGACCTCGAGGAGAGGATGCCCGTGTTCTGGGGCCAGGCGCGCTTCGAGGGCCTGCGGCCGAGGCTGCCGGGGCTGGAGGCGCAGGTGCGCTCGCGCCGGAAGCTGCTGCGCGAGGCCGCGAGCCTGCTGGGCGCGCCGCTGGACAGGCTCACCTGGGCCCACGCCCTGGTGTCCGCCCGCGCCGTGGGCGCCGGCATAGACTCGGGGAGGCGTGAGCGAGTTTCGGCTCGAACGCGGAAAGAATGGGTGCAATGCCCGACAGCAGTTCTTGTTCATTTTGAACAGGACTCGCTGTCGGTGTCGCCGCGGCCTGTGTCCATTTGAGACAGAAGGCCGCCTGCCCAACAGTGGCCGCTGTTGGTTTGGGACAACATTTGTTGTTGGGCATTGTACTTATTTTTTCCGTACCCATTTCGGGCGTCCAAAGCGAGTTCGCTGGAGTTCTTGTCTGCCGATTTGCTCTTTGACGGGCCCGTGCGGCTTTCGTGGGATGTCTGCAGAGCGGGAGGGCGCGTCACAGTGCAGACTGGTGCTCGTCATTTTTCCTGACGGCCCCGTCAGGCCAACCCGAGTCCCCCGAACCCGAGCCTTAGGGAACCAGCAATGACAGAAGCAGAAAGACTCTGATGTCCGCGCGGTTTTCTCGAATCGGCGCTGAACCCCCCTCCCTGGCGCGCGGAACGCGCCAGGGGCGGCGCTGGAGGCGCCGCCAGGGGGCCCCAGCGCCGATCCGAGGAATCCGCGCGGACCTCCGAATTGTGATGCTCTTGCCATTGTCTGCTCCCGCAAGCCCGGGTCCCCCGAGCCCGATCCTTACGTCTCCCCGGCAGACGCGTGCGCCATGATCCCTGGCGTCGACATGGCCAACCACGACGTCGCGCCGAACGCTGAGCTCGTCGTCGCGGGCCTGCCGGGCGTGGCCACTGGGCGGGCCACCGTCACGAAGTTGGGCGAGGTCTGGCCACAGGGCACGGCGAGCATCGTCGCGATGGGGGACATCGCAGTGGACGAGCCCATACGGATATCGTACGGGCGTTACCCGAACCAGCTGGCGAGGCCTAGGGTTGGGAGGAGGACCACTTACTCCTCAACGATTTCCGCGACGTGTTCATCCGGAAGAGCGTTCTTCCAGACGGACTCGTCCGGATGCAGCTGTCAGGATAGATGCGTCCAGATGCATTCGTCGGCGGATGATCTCGATCGTCTCTGGACGAACTCGCTCTCGGATGAGTTCGTCCTCGGATGAGCTCGTCCGGAAGAAGTTGTCCAGACGAAGTCGTCCGGATAAACTCGTCTCCGACGAACTCGTCTGGACGACATGGCTTCAGGTGAAGCGGTAGGCTTCCCCCGCACACCCCCGCACCCGGAGAGCCCCCAGACCTCCAGCGTGTTAGAGAACTCGGTGCGAAGGCTCTTCGTCGTCTTCGGCACCTGTCGGGGGTGGACAGAACCCCCAACAGTGACACGTCGATTAGTGACTTGTCCGTTTTCGGTTCTCGAGAGGGCGCCGTGGCCGTTATTTTCAAGGCTTGCGCCCGCCAGGTTTGGGCCTCAGGTCGTTTTCACTAAACCACGTTTTACTAAAGGGGGGTCTGTCCATCCCCGAATCTGGGGGCCCTCGCCGGAACCCCAGGCCGTCAACAAAAACGGTGAGTCAAGGATGCAACACCAGCCCTGAGGAAGTCCAGGCCTCCCAGACGGGTTCCGAGCAGATGGGGTCGGAGGATCGCGCTGCATCGCCGATGCATCGGCGATGCATCAGCGATGCGGCTCGATGTGTGGCCCAATTTTCTTCACGTCGACGTCGCCGATGCGTCGCCAGTGCATCGCCGGTGCATCGGCGATGCATCGGCGATGCGGCGCGACCTTCCGACCCCATCTCAACGGACGCCATCTAGAAGGCCTACAGGAAGGGTTCTGGACTTGGGGACCCAAATCAGGACATCGCATGCCTGGGGAAAGCTCCCAGATGGCCTCAACAGGCCGCCGGTGCAGTCCAGGGCAGGGTTTTTCGGAGCGTTCGGCCCCCGAGGGCCCCCCCCTGGACGCCCCCGACGGCAGCGGCGTCGCGGAGAGCGTCGGCGACCCCCCGCGCGACGCAGCGCGAGCGAGGACGAAGACGGGCATGTCCCTCTCCAGGAGGAATATTCAAAAATTGTCAACAATGTCTGGGGATGATTTTTTCACCATATTTGAATATATTTCTAATATAATTAGCTTGGCTATCTTTTATTTTTCGTCAAAAATCCGCCTGTAGGAGGACATGCACGACCTAAAGCAAGCAAACTCCTCGTGACGTAGAGCGCTCCGGGGGGGCGCCGCCAGAAGCGGTCGTAGACTACCTGGCGGGCGTGTCGAGGCCAGCCTGGGCCGCCTGCAGGGGCTTTCTGCGCACAGCCCCAAGCCTTGCCAGTCCAGCGGCTCATCTTAGACTACGGGTTCTCGCTGGGCGCGATCAACCCGAGCGGCGAGGAGGAGGAGAAGGAGGAAGTGAGCGAGGCGGTCAAGTCCGCTCGCGGCTGGTCGTGGCGCGAGGACTGACCACGGCAGCGCTCTGGGGGCAGTCCCGCGCCGACCCAGACAGTCCGCGTGGATCTCTGGCGGTCAACGTGGATGCAGCTTTGCCCGCTGTGGCTCGCGGTGGCTTGCGGTCACGCTTCCCCTCTCGTCGACGCGGGTTTGCGCCCAGCGTTCGAGCGCACTACGAAAAATGCGTTCCATCTGGTAGGCTTTGGATGGTCCAAGGCCGCCGACAGACGATCCAGCTGCGTTGTCATTTGGCACCAGCGCGAATATATCAAATTGCAGATTCCCTTTCAAATTCTACCATGGAGTGCGGAATAAGTTGGCTAAAGTGAGTGCCACCAACCATACCGCAGTTTTATCCTCTCGATGCCAATTTCATGTGCTATTCAGATGGTGGCACGCGCCGCGAATCCTGCTCAGCAGTGGCATGGCGCAGATCCAAGAAATCCGCGCGGAGCGCCAACAGTTTATGTTTATGCCGTTTTTGTTCTTCTTCCATTTCAGAGACCGTCGCACTCGACGATTGGATAGCACGTCTCACCACATGTATTAGCCCTTGCAGCTTTGCCAACCGCGCTTGGCCGAAGCAGCGGCGTTTCGAAGTTGCAGGCCTGTCGTCGTCCGCGGCATGAGGCGTCGGGTTGTCAATCCTAACGTTGGAGTTGGCTCTGTATTGAGGCGAGCCTGGAGGCTGCCTGGGCCTCTCGACGGCCGCCCTGGCAGCAGCCCACGGGGCTCCAGGCCCGCCCGCGTCTCTGCGTCGCCGATGGCGTCGGGCCGGGGAGGCACGCTCGGTCTGGCCAGCGATTGTCCCCGCCCAGAAAAGGGTAGTTATATTGCGGAGGCCCTGCGGCCGGTGCCGCCGACCCTGAATGGGGGCGACGACGGCGGCGGCGGCGGCGGCGATGACGAGGACGCTGACGTGGGTCAGAGTCCTCAAGGATGTTTCTGGGGGTCTCTTCGGAGCTTTCTCGGTGGCCACCGGGGGCCGTTCTGGGGCCTCTCGGGAGCCACTTGGGGGCCTTTTTCGGGAGTCCCTTGGGGGCCTCTTGGGGCTTCCTGGGGTCGTCTTGGGGGCATGTTGGAGCCTCTTGGGGCCTCCTGGGAATTTCGAGGCCTCTTGGGAGCCTCCTGAGGCGTCCAGGGCATGTTCTGTTTATTTTGGAAGCCTTCGGGCTCGTTTGGGAACTTTCTTCGGGGTCGTCCTGTGTGTGTGTGTTCCCTACATCCTGTGGACGGGTTTCGTTTTGAGAAGATACAGTGGGGGCGCGCATCTAGAAACCATATGCTGTTCGTCAGGATATCCTGGGTTTCTTCGCTCCGCGCGCTGCGCGGCGACTTCCCGCGGCCGTTGAAGAAGCTGCGGCGTTCAGGGTGCTCTGGGATTCACGTCGGGTGCACCCTGCGCGCGGGTTTTCAGGGTTGGGTTTCTTGCGAGGGTTTCTTGCGGCCGCGCCCGCACTGTAGTTGCTGCTCGCTCACCTCGTATCCCGCGTCCAATCGCCTACGCTCGCTTTTTCTTTATGCTCTGAGCCTCCTTTCTCCTCGTGCTCCCTGTCTCCACGTGGTTTCAATAGGCGGCTAAGCGACCAAGGTGGCACATTACAACATAGGCCCATATCTTTCTGCGCTGGAAACTCCACATGGGTATGAAGCCTCAGACACGCACACGGTGGTATAACGGAGAAAGAAGAGGACGGGGAATGATATCAGGAACGCGGAGAGGGAATGGGAGGAATCATCATACCCAAGTTGACAACGTGAAGGCCCATACGCCGCGTGTGTGTTGTGTGTCAGTGTGCGTGTGTGTGTGTGTGTCTCTTTTGTTTCTCTCTCTCTCTCTCTTTCTTTCTCACTCTCCCTCCCTCTCTCTCTCTCCCTCTCGCCTGGTTGTTTCGTTACTCAAGAGGCTTACGCCATTCCGCCGATCCCCAGAAGAGGGGGGAGTCCACGGTTGAGGCGTCGTGGGCTTCTTGGGCACCATTTGGGGACTCTTGTGGGCATCCCGGGAGCTGTTTGCAGGCTTGAAGCGTCTTGGGGCCCGTTTTGGGGCCTCTGTTGGGCCTCTTTGGGTGCCTCTTGGGTTGGGGTTCATTTGGTTTTTTGGGAGGCTTCCTGGAGGAGGAGGAGGAGGAGGAGGAGGAGGAGGAGGAGGAGGAGGAGGAGGAGGAGGAGGAGAGGAGGAGGAGGAGGAGGAGGAGGAGGAGGAGGAGGAGTGGAGGAGGAGGAGGAGGAGGAGGAGGAGGAGGAGGAGGAGGAGGAGGAGGAGGAGGAAGGAGGAGGAGGAGGAGGAGGAGGAGGAGGAGGAGGAGGAGGAGAGAGGAGGAGGAGGAGGAGGAGGCGGAGGAGGAGGAAGCGGAGGAGGAGGAGGAGGAGGAGAGGAGGAGGAGGAGGAGGAGGAGGAGGAGGAGGAGGAGGAGGAGGAGGAGGAGGAGGAGGAGGAGGAGGAGGGGGGGAGAAAGCGGAGGAAGCGGAGGAGGAGGAGGAGGAGGAGGAGGAGGAGCGAGGAGGAGGAGGAGGAGGAGGAGGAGGAGGAGGAGGAGGAGGAGGAGGAGGAGGAGGAGGAGGAGCAGGAGGAGCAGGAGGAGCAGGAGGAGCAGGAGGAGCAGGAGGATTGAGGATTAATGAAGCCGCGGACGCCGTGTCCCGCTCGGAGGGCAGCCGCCGCGCCGAGCCCAGCGCCCACCGCGGAAGCGGCCCCTCCTCGGCATAGGCCAAACTTGGGCCAGTCGCCAGGCTCAGCCCACGCCGTCGCGCGCCGCGCTTCTGGGGCAGAGCAGCCGCCCTTCCAGGGTCCATTTCGAGCTCCCTTTCCTCCTACTCGTCCCTCCCTCCCTCCCTCTCCTCCTCCTCTTCCTCCTCCTGCTCTTCCTCCTCCTCCTCTTCCTCCCTCCCTCCCTCCCTCCCCTCCCTCCCTCGCTCTGGGTTGAGCGCCGGGCCAGCCCACGCCGACCTCGATGACCCGCGCTCGAGGGCCAGAGGGATGGGGTCCTGAGGATGGGAGGGGTACAGGATTTGTGACCTTGTTTGAGGCACCTCGTTCTTAGGATCCCATCCCTCAGGACCCCATCTCCGAACTATCGACGCATCATGACGGCGGCCTCCTTCATGAAGAAGGCCGCGGGCTGTGCGCTTCTTCTTGAGGATGCTCTTGCACAGCAGCGGCTGGGACGACTTGGCCAGATTCTGCTCGTCGAGACGGCTCAAGCACCAGCACAAAGAAGAATGGCGAGTGCTGCCGAAGCCGCGAGGCCGCGCGTAGCACCCCAACGGCTCGCACTCGACCGCACGGCCACGCATATCCTCGAACATCCCCTGCCAGCTCGCCTTCTGCACCGCCGTCGGCGCCTCGACGAGCAGCTTCCAGTACTCGAGGAGCGAGTTGGATGTCCGCCTCGACCAGCCGCTCCTCGAGCTCCGCGAGGAGGGCTCTCGCCTCCACGAGCGCCTGCTCCGCCGCCTGACTCCGCCTCGGCGCCGCCCGCCGGCGACCCTGATCGCCGCAGAGTCCCTCGCCGCCGAGGCCTCCGGGAGGGAGTCGAGGAGCCCTTGGACCGCGGCCTCCTTGGAGGCCTCCACGCCCGCGCTGCTCCTGAAGTTCGCGTCGGGCGCCGCGGGCGCGTCGGGCTCCTGCTGCTCCTGGCTCCTGCCATCGCTGATGCTGTCGTCCGGCACCTGCTCTCCCATCTCCTGCTCCTGGACCTGGGAGTCCTGGTCGAA